TCGCGACAGCTGAAGCCCCACGAGGAGAATTACCCGACTCACGATCTCGAGTTGGCAGTTGTTGTTCACGCACTCAAGATATGAAGGCATTATTTGTACGATGGTCGGGGTGAGATTTACACCGATCACAAGAGTCTGCAGCATATATTCACGCAGAAGGAGCTCAACATGCGCTAGAGACGATGGTTGGAGCTGGTGAAGGATTACGACTGCACCATTCAGTACGATCTGGGGAAAGCGAACGTGGTAGTTGATGCCCTTAGCCGAAAGGAGAGGGACGAGTTGACCTGCATGATCACCCAACAGAGTCAACGCATGCGAGAGTTCACTTGGATGCAGTTAGAGGTAGTTGAATCACTTCCCAAGTTGAAGGTAGTGGGAGGTATTCGATCGATGAGAGTGTGGCCCATGCTCTGAGACCGAGTTTGGAGAGATTAGTCCGTATACGAGTTCGTCCATTCGATGAGAGTGAAGGTTCTCGACGATGGAGTATGCAGATGGTACCTCGGAGTACAAGGGGAGGATCATTGTGCCAAACGTCGAGGCTCCAGAGAAGGAGATCTTGACCGAGGCACATAATGCACCCTACTTAGTGCACCCCAGTAGCACCAAGATGTATCTAGACCTGAAAGGGTAATTTTGGTGGAGGGGTATGAAGAGAGATGTAGAAGATTTCGTGAAGAAGTGTTTGGTTTGCCAGCAGGTAAAGGTCGATCACAAGTTTCCCCTCAGGTTGGTGCATCCATTAGAGGTCCCACTATGGAAGTGGGAGCATGTCACCATGGATTTCATTACGGGACTACCCAAATCGAAGCAGTAGCATGATGCGATTTGGGTAATTGTGGACAGGCTGATGAATTCTGCCTGTTTCTTGCCCATGAGGATGATGATGTCCATTGAGCAGCTTGTCAGTATCTATATATGTGGGATTGTTTGACTCCACCGGAGTAGCCGAGACCATAGTATCATACCGAGATCCCCATTATACCGGACACTTCTGGAAGAGCCTCAATGAGTCCATAGGGACACAACTGCAGTTCAGTACAACATTTCACCCACAGAATGACGGACAGTCAGAGCAGACTATCCAGACACTCGAGGACATGCTTCGAGCTTGTGTTCTGGACCGTGGCAGTACAAGTGTGGATTTTTTGCCGCTGATTGAGTTCGCGTACAACAACAGTTATCATGCGTCGATCAAGATGGCGTCGTACGAGGCTTTGTACGGTCGCAAGTGTCGATTCCCCTTTATTGTGATGAGGTCGGTGAACGACATGTTCTCAGTCCGAGGCTGATCGAGGACACAGTGGAGAAGGTCGTGTTAATCCGAGAGAGGATGAAGGTGGCACAGGATAGACAGAAGTTCCACGCTAACAAGCGTAGACAAGACCTCCAGTTCGAGCAGGGAAATAGAGCCCTTTTAAAGATCACGCCGTTCAAGGGTGTGGTTCGCTTCGGGAAGAGGAGGAAGTTGCAGTCTCATTTTATAGGCCCATTCGAGATCATCGAGCGTGTGGGCGAGGTAGCATACCGTTTGGTGTTGCCTCCCGAGCTTTCGGGTGTTCACAACGTCTTTCACGTGTCAATGTTGAGGAGTTGCGCGCATGATCCTGGGCACGTGTTGAGTTACAACGAGCTCGAGGTCGGGCTGAACCTGACTTACGAGGAGCAACCGATAGCGATCTTAGACCAAAAGGTCCAACAACTATGGAATATAGATGTATCACTAGTTCGAGTTCGCTGGAGCCGCCCCAATGAGGCCGAGGCCACTTGGGAGCGAGAGGAGGAGATCCGAGCTCGTTACCCAGAGTTTCAATTCTGATTAGTACTATGTATTTTTCGATTCCTAGTTTCTAGTCGAGTCGGACTTATGTTTAGTTTTGGCATTTCCGAGGACAGAAATATTTAAGGAGGATAGATTGTAACGCCCAAAATATTATTTACTATTTATGATATCGACATTATTTTCATAAATATTAAGTTTCCTAATTCGATGCATTTAATATTGCTATTTGCATTAAATTGAGTATTTAGTATTAAGTCTAAGCCATGGAGAATTCATTCGATTTTTTATTATTAAAGTCAGATTTATTTAACCCAAGTATCGATTCTATTTTTTAAAAAACCGAGCCTTAGATTAATCGAAATTTTACTAAAGCGGACCGAAGCCCGAATATTTAATCTATTCTAGCCTAATCATTTTCGAGCGAGTCCAGTTATTTTAGCCGGCCCATTTAGGTTAATCGAGCCTATGATCGATTTTATTTCGGCCCATTTCATTTTAGTAAATCGAGTCCATGTTCGATTTTATTGTAGTCCATTTTAAAAATCGAGCCTTTAGTCGATTTTTAAATCCGAGCCCAATTAATTTAGTTAATTTGACCAACTAATTTAATTAGTCCAAGTCCGGTTAATTTTATTGACAACGTGGAATAAATCGAACCCAAGTCGATTTAATTTTACTAGCCCAATTTTAAGCTCAAGTGTTAGGATTTTATATGCCCAGTATTAAAGCCCAAAATCCTACACAAACCATAGTCTTCTACTTGCATATAAATAGCACATATCCTCATTTCCAAACATCACAAACCATAGCCATCATTCACTATTCATCATCATCTCCACTCTCATCTCAAGATCCCTCAATCCATCACTCCACCTTCATTTTTCGGCCATCCACCGAGCTCCAGCGAACCCTCCGGCAAGCCTGCGTTCAGCCTTGGTCCATGCCTCCCTCCTGCCGACAGCACGAACCCGTCCTAGATCCGAGCCGCCAGTATTGTTCATGATCACCAGTGCCCGTCCACGGTCTGTACCAGTGTCGTCCCTGCAACCCCGCATTCGTACATTGCCGGTCCAGCTCAGTTCACGACGCGTCCATACGCCTGCATGTCGATCTGCATCTGTACGCCCGTTCAGAACTTGTTCACGTTGATTCCACGCTTGTCCCGTCCATACGACGCGTTCCCGTGGCCCAGCGAGCAATACTGGCGCACCCAACAGTAGAGCTGCGTTCGTACGCGTCGCTGTCGTCCGTACGCCCGCAACAACGAGCTGCAACCGTTCAACACGAGTCCAGCGACGAGTCTCGCACCGAGTCAATCGAGTTATGATGCATCCAGCCCGAGTTGCCACGCCGAATTGGACCACGGTTAAACCGAGCTACATATAGTTAAGCGAATGATCGATCGACTCCGAGTGAGCCGTAGGTACAGTTCAGTCGAACTAGTTCGGGCAGTCCAGACGGTTCGAAGAGAATTTCAGTTCAGCCGAATCAGTCCAGGTAGTCCAGATAGTTCAAGGGTTTAGTTCGGAACATTGGTTTGAGTGTGAACCGAGACTCTAGTTTTCTGAACAAGTAAGATAAATTCCAGTCAGATTAAATTTCCAGATAGATTTAAAATTTCAGTCAGATTTAAGATCCAGATTTAAGATCTCGATATATTTAAGATTTGAGACAGATTTAGACTAGTCAGATTAGATTCAATTAGATTGTAGTTCTAACTTAGAAAATATTTTCAGAGAACTCTCGTATGCCTCAAAGATAATAAATTTTCAAAACAACAAAATCAGCTCTTAAATCCCTAAAATGATTTTTAAAGCCGAGTGAACGAACCTAGACAAATCAGATAATAAAGATTCGAGTTTTATTCTAATCCCATTACTTAATATATTTCGCTCATAATTTTGTAGCCTGAGGAGAGTCAAGGCTCCGCTTGCTACTAGTCCAGGTAGTCCGAATAGTTCGGGGGTTTAGTTCGGAACATTGGTTTGATTGTTTGCAATATTTTTGGGCAAGAAGTAACCGAGTTACCCGACTCGGTTCGTTCTCAAAGGAAGATTAGCCGGACTAAATCGAACGTTTATTTAATTTATAAAAGAGAAAATAATCCTAAACATTCTAATTCAGTTTGATGATTGGATTTTTAAACTAAATTTTACAACTTTTTAACAATAATAAAATAACTAAAATGACAATAATATTCCAAGCTATTATTAATGCTATCGTTTTACTCGTAAAACTTTCAAACGAAAAATTCGTTTTACTAGTAAAAACTTTCGAACAATAAAGTTGTTTTACTCGTAAGAACTTTCAAACAAAAAGGTCGTTTTACTCGTAAAACTTTCAAACGAAAAATTCGTTTTACTAGTAAAAACTTTCGAACGATAAAGTTGTTTTACTCGTAACAACTTTCAAACGAATAAAATGAAAAATATAATTTATAATGAATTTAAAAGTTTAGGGTATTGGGGATAATCAATTCCAGTTTTATTAACATTTATTAATAATTAAATTACTCGGTTAACCGGTCCACTTAATTTACTCATCTAGTAGTTTATCCGTACTAACTCTCGTAATATACGGATGAACTTTAAACAAGTGAATTAGTAAAATGGTTAACACATAAACAATACGTTTCCGAACATGTCTATTCCAAACAAATCAAGTTCTATCAATTTCGCCTCTATCGATTTTGAAATTGATTATGTAGATTAAAATGGTGATCAATCTTTTAACCATAAGATTAATAAAATTTTGTAAAGATTGAGTAATAAAAATACTTATAAATGTTAATAAACCAAAATGATTATCCCTTAACCCTAATTAGGAAATTAGTTGATCATAATAATTTTAACATACAAATTCTTATGGAAACAAACCATTGATAACATAAAATGAAAAGAAAACTTATTATTGATGCACAAGCAAGAGGAAATGCAAACTTAATGTCTTCAACACACTTCAATAATACAAACTCAAACAATAAAAGATAGTGAAGAAACAAGTAGAAGAAGAAGAAGATAGATGTTGAATCCCCCAAATGATGATGATGAGTCCTCCTTTTATAGCACAAGTAGTCTCCCCTGTAGTCGTAGTTGGATGAGAAAATAGCTGGAAATCACTCCTAACATGATGCCTAACTTCCACATATTCAACCACAAGTTCAAACATAGGTAAGAAAAACAACAACCTGCAGTCTGCCAGGGTTAGCGGCGCTATGGTGGGGCTTAGCGCCGCTAAGGTGCGGCTGGTTCGCACGTCCTCACTAT